GCTAGAAATAGAAGTACCATACAATCCAGCAATCCAGCTCCTTGAAATATATTCTAGAGAAATAAGAGCCATCACATGAATAGATTAATGCACACCAGTGTTCATTGCAGCACTGTTCACAATAGCAAAAAGATAGGAACAACCTGGTTGCCCATCAACAGACAAATGGATAAACAAATTACGGTATATGCACACAATGGAATGGTACTCAACGATAAAGAACAACGATGAATCTGTGAAACATAACATGGATGAATCTGGAAGGCATTATGCTGAGTGAATGTAATTAATCGCAAGAGGACAAATACTGTATAACACCACTATTATAAGAACTCAAGAAAAGGTGTAAACACAGAAGAAAACATTCTTCGATGTTTACGAGGGTGGGGAGGGAGGGAGGGGGTATTCGCTGACTAGATAGTAGACAAGAATTATCTTAGGTGAAGGGAAGGACAACAGACACTGCAGGGGAAGTCAGCAAACTGGACTAAACCAAAAGCTAATAAGTTTCCTGAATACAACCAAACATTTCGAGGGACAGAGTGGCAGGGTCGGGGGTCTGGGGGTCATGGTTTCAGGGGACATCTAGGTTAATTGGCATAACAAAGTTTATTTAGGAAATGTTCTGCATCCCACTTTAGTGAGTGACATCTAGGGTCTTAAAAGCTAGTGAGCGGCCATCTTAGATGCATCAGTTGGTCCCAACCCACCTGTAGCAAAGAAGAATGAAGAACCCCAAAGACAGAAGGAAAATATTAGCCCGAGAGAGAAAGGGCCACATAAACCGGAAACTGTATCAGCCCGAAACTAGAAGAACTAAATGGTGCCCGGCTACCACCAATGACCGCCCTGACTGGGAACGCAACAGAGAGTCCCTGATGGATCTGGAAAAAAGTAGGGTGCAGAACTCAAATTCTAGTAAAAAGACCAGAATTAATTGTTTGACTAAGACTGGAGGGACCCCGGAAGACATGGCCCCTGGACTCACTGTTAGTCCAAAACTACAACCATTCCCGACGTCAAGTCTTCAGACAAAGATTAGACTGGAGTATAAGACATAAAATGAAACTCATGAAGAGCGTGCTTCCTAGCACAAGTAGGTACTTGAGACTAAATGGGCGTCTTCCGTGTAGAGGCAAGATGAGAAGGCAGAAAGGGACAGGACTGGTTGAATGGACATAGGAAATCCGGGGTGGAAAGGAGGAATGTGCTGTCACAGGATAGGGAGAGCAACTAGGGTCACATAACAACGTGTGTATAAATTTTTGTATGAGAAAGTAATTTGAATTGTAAACCTTCACTTAAAGCACAATAGAAAAAAAGAAATAGTTCCTTAATAAATACATTTGTAGCAAAAAAAATCAGAGGATGCATTGCATTGGGCAGATCTGCTGCAAATGAGTAAGAAAGACTGGAGAAGAGTTAATGCCTTTGAATTATGATGTCCTTGAAGAATATTGAATATACCGCGGACTACCAAAAGAATGAACAGATGTGTCTTGGAAGAAGTACAGCCAGAATACTCTTTCGAAGCACGGGTGGCGAGACTTCCTCTCACATGCTTTGGACATATTACAGAAGGGACCAGTCCCTGAGAAAGATACCATTATTGGTAAAATAGAGGGTTTAGCAAAAAAGAGGAAGACCCCCAGTGAGATAAATTGACGCAGTGACTGCAGCAGTAGGCTGAAGCATAACAATGATTATGAGGATGGCGCAGGACCAGGTGGCATTCTGTTCTGTTGTACGTAGCGTCGCTATGAGTCAGCATCAACTCCATGGCACCTGAAGACAACAACAATGGGTTATAGTATCACAGTCTACCTTTAAGTGATATTCTACCACTTCACATACAGTATGGGGCTCTCGTGGCCCAGTGCTTAAGAGCTCGGCTGCTAACCAAAATGTCAGCAGGTTTGCATCTACCAGCAGATCCTTGGAAACCCTATGGGGCAGTTCTACTCTGTGTTATAGGGTCACTGTGATAGAGACCTTACAATAGTATACTTCCATTTCTCCCTTCCTGGCTTTTGTTACACTGTTGTCACATATTTTTCTTATACATAGGCTATAAACAACACAATGTATTCTCATTATACTTTTTAAACAGTTATCTTTTAAAAAAATTTAAATAATGAGGAAAACATTTTTAAATATTTATTCATGTAGATACGATTTCCAGTGCTCTTCACTCCTGTTTATAGATTAATATTCCCTTTGTGTTCTTTCTGCCTGTAGAACTTGTTTTAGTATTTCTGTTTGTACAATTCTGCTGGTAATTAACTCTTTCAGTTTTTGTATGTCTCAAAACGTATTGCGTCCATGTTTTTGAAATAGATTTCCACTGTATATAGATTTCTAGATTACATTTTCTAAGTACCTTAAAGATGTTCCACAGGCTTGACTACATTTTTTCTGATTAGAAATCTGCTTTTATTTATTTGTTTTATGAAATATGTCTTTTTTTTCCCCCCTTCTACTTCTAAAATTTTATCACTGGTGTTGAGCCATTTAAATATGACACGACTGGGTGAAGTTTCCTTCATGTTTACTGTCCATTTTTTTTGGTGGGGTATTTTTGGGTATATAACTTTCACCAGATATGGAAAATTTTTGACATATTTTCCTTTAGGTGTTTCTTTCTGTCTTCCATTTCTGGACTCCAGTTATTCAGATGCTGCTCGAAGTTGTCTGACAGGTCACTGATGGTTATTTCTTTTATTGGATTTTTTTCATTCATATTGGATATTTTTTGTTGTTTCCCAAAGCTCATTAATCTTTTACTCTGCATTCTCATATATTTTTAGTCTCCAAACATTGTGGTTTTCATCTCTGGAAGGTTTTTGGTTCTTTTTAATATATCCCATGTCTCTACTTTTTGAAAACAGGGACTATAATGACTGTCTTAATGTCTTTGCTAAATCTAACATCTGTATCAGTTTACACTTTGTTTTGATTAATATTTCTCTCATTCTGGCTTATATTTTCCTCCTCCTTTGCATCCTTGTAGTCTGTGATTGGATACTTGACATTGTGAATTCTACCTTGTTGAATACTAGATATTTTTGTATTACTATATATCATTTTTTAGATTTGTTTTGGGACACAGATTACTTGGAAACAATTTATTCGTTTTTCAGTCTTAGTTTTAAGATTTGTTATTTAAAGAACGTTCAGTTAGGGCTAATTATTCTCTACTGCTGAGGCAAGCCCATTCTGAGTAGTTTACCTAATACTCCATGAATATGAGGTTTCAGTTTGACTAATGGGGACAGATACTATTCTTGACCCTGTGTGGGTGCTGGGGATTGTTTTCTCTAATCTTCTTGGGTGATTTTTTTCCCAGTTTTTGATAGTTTCCTTATGTTCGTATAGTAATCAGTATTCTGCTGGAATTCTGCCCTTTGTGCAGCTTTATCTTCTCAGGTGCTCTGTCCTATGAACTTGAGCCACCGTGTTCTTCTCAAACTCTCAGTTCCTTTTCCTCAGCTCATGGAATTTCCTAAGTTCTCCCTGGGTTCTCCCCCCTCCCACCATGTCTTGGAAACTCTTAAGGCCGTAAGCTAGGGCAGTCATAGGGCTCACATTGTGTATTTTTCACACTCCAGGGTTCACTGTTCTTCATTGTTTGATACCCAGTGTCTAGAGGACCATTGGGTCATACATTTTGACTGGTTGTTTCAAGATGGGAGGGTTAATCCAGTCCATGTTACTTCATCTTGGCTGGTGGTGAAAGTCCAATACAGGTTTTAAAGACTTGATTAGAAAAGTATTTAAATTTGGTCCAAATTATGTTAGTATGCTTTAAATTTTAGGAGAAAGTTGCAAAGTATTATACAAAATGAGTCATGTATCAGATGCATATTTAGCACCTGCTGTAAAGTACCTTTATACCTGATATAATAAAACAATATACCATGTAATACCACTATGGATGCCAGGTAGCACAGTGGTTAAGTGCTTTGCTGCTAACCGAAAGGTCAGAAGTTCAAACCCATCAGTGGCTACGCGAGAGAAAAGACCTGGTCTGCTCCTGTAAAGATGACACCCTAGGAAACCTTATGGGGCCGTTGTACTCTGTCCCATTGGGTCGCTATGAATCGGAGTTGACTTAACACGTAAGAGCAATACTACTATGATGAAACCTGCAGTAATTTCTCTCTTTTTTCCGGATTTTATTTAAACATAATTCAAAATTTTTATCTTTTGACTAAAATAATATTTTTATCAGTTGTTGTTAAGGTACACCAACACTTTAAACTCTTGCTCTGTTTTACATGATAAAGCCATTAAGTGTGCACAAGATTATCATCTTATGAAATCTGTACTTTTATTGTTAAGCTGTTGAAAGCACAGCCCCTTTTTGCTATTTTACCCATTATTCAAAAGTTAAGTAGAGAGAGGAAAAAGAAGATTGTTCAAAATGTGGTTTCATCTTCTAGAGATTAAAAGGAATATATGCTTATATGGCATTTGGTTAAAAGTCTCTGTCACCTATAAAATCGATACAGTGTATGCTGTGGCATCGATTTGAAACATTGAAATAAATTTCATGGGAAATCTAGGCTTTGAATTCTCTACAGAATCAGTTTTTAACCCCTTTTCCACGGTGGACTGTGTGTGTTTTGTATAATTTCCACTGGTAGAGGGGGAGTTGGCAAATAAAAGTCTTTGAAAATATTTTTTAAAAATCCGTATTAGTAGACTGCTGCTCTTTTTGGGAAGATACGAAATAGGACTTGTGATTTTTGTTATAGTTATCCTTCTAAGAGATTACTAATTTGCTCTTAGAGTAATATAAGAAGATAAACTGTTTATAAAACTCTTACCTAATTACAAAATATCAAATACGTCAGTTTTACTGATAGAAAGAAAACTTTATTGCCATTTAAAGATAAAAGTGTTTTTACCAGCAACTTATATATATAAGAAAATACATATATTTATGGTGCGTTTGAGGGATCCTGAATGTGAAAATTAAGAAAATAAATTACTTTTAGGTCTTTGTCTGAAGCTATGTCAGTGGAAAAAATTGCTGCAATCAAAGCCAAAATTATGGCTAAGAAAAGATCTACTATCAAGACCGATCTAGATGATGATATAACTGCCCTTAAACAGAGGAGTTTTGTGGATGCTGAGGTAGATGTGACCCGTGATATTGTCAGCAGAGAGAGAGTGTGGAGGACACGAACAACTATCTTACAAAGCACAGGAAAGGTAATTCAAATATTTGATTGATTTGTTAGAGTGCATGTGTATATTTAATCTATGATTGGTTATAGAATTGGTTAAAATTTGCTATGAGGAGGAGGTTTAGGTTTTATCCCTTTGAAAGGTTAGTAATAATGTAGATTTTTAAGTGGCCATATTTATTATTCTGTTTAAGCAGATGGTTATTGGTTACCAAAAGCTGATGAAAAAGTGTGATTCAAAATGCAAGCCCCTTTATGTATACGTCATTTGTAAATTCAAAGAGTGGACTAATTTTCTTGTTGAGTCAAATTTTACTTTGAATTAGTGGACACCGGGAATATTGATGACAAGCTCTCTGGTTATTAATACCATCATTGATTTTCTCACAACAAAGTAGAGAACTTATGAAGATCAGTCAGCAAATATTTACTGAGTATATTTCATAATTCTGTTGTGTGGATGTAGCAAGATTTGTTTGTTTCTTATTAATGGAGTTTTTTTTTTTCCTCCAGGATTGTGGGGTTTTTCTCCCTTTCTTCCTGTGTACCTTCCTCCTTTCCTCCCTCGCTTTCTTTTCCTTTCTCTCTCCCTCCCTGTCTTTCCTTCTCTCCCTTTCTTCTTACTATTACAAGTAATGCAGTAAAGAACGTCCTTGTACATATACCTTTATACATTTATGCGTATATGGCAAAAGAATTGATCCCTGAAAGGAGAATTGCAGGTCAGAGAAGATGTGTACTTTACATTTTGAAAGATTAAAATTTGAAAGCTACTGGATGTTCAGTATCATAGTGAGTTTCCAAAAAAGTTACATTGATTGTTTTACATACTTTCCTCTTTCTTCTCTTTCCCTTCTCTGTCAATTTTGTGTTTTAAATGTTAATTTTCCACTGACTGTCAGTGGTTTAATAGTGATGATTTGGTAATAACATTTAAAAAACTGTGGGAGATTATTGATAAAACAGAAGTTTAACATTGTTCTAGGCAGACTGATTGTGGTTGCAGAATTTTAGGGTTCTAGCCTTAATTTTACTATGACATTTTAGTGGAAACAGAGCTACTGGAAAAAGTATATGAAGAAAAGGATTATTTCTTTTTCTTTTGTACTTTAATTTGTTCTAAAAAGTATTTGAAGTAGAGATTAAGAATTAGTCTTTACAGTTTAGAATTATAAAGGAACCTGAGAACATGAGTAAACAACCATTCTGTTTTTGTTTTTGCAATAAAGTGACCTGTTCATACTCATTTTAAATGACTGCCAAATATGGCCACTACTTGAAATACTGTGACTTTTATTGTTATACCAATGCTCGTTATGATTTTTGAAACTCATGATAAAGGAGGAAAACATAGGTGTTATGCCTTGCCTTATTTTAGACCAAACATTAGATTTTCAGATAACTCAGATGAACAATTTTCTTTGAGCTCTAGATGGCAGGATTGTACCATCATTTTAAAATATAATGCTAGTTCTAATTTAGTGTTGTGGCACCACTGTATCTTTTTAAAAATAAGTTAATAATTTAGGAATTGTTTAGTAGCTAGGTTTGCTTTTATGAGTATTAATATTTTTAAAAGTCAGAAGTAAATGTATTTATTGATAGTCTCTGTGCTGTTTTCATCTGGTAAACTGAAAAAAATACTCTTAGGTACTTATAGCACTAAAGAGCCCTAAGATTTTACTCAGTCCTTCATTATTACCAGTTTTTAGAACTTTCTTATTTTGTAAGTTTCAGGAACAAAAGACAAATTCAGTATTCCACAGGAAACGTACATTATTTTATACTCTTATGTGACTATTGCAAGCACTCAAAATAAAGCCGCCTAATCGTTTAATTTCATTAATAAAACGTACTTTTAAAATAACACAAGTTAACATAATTTTGTTGAAAATTGCTAAAAAGAGATTAGTAAAGAAAGATAATAATCATCATATGAAAGTCTGCCGCCTCAAAATATCCAATAATAATGATTTGATTGATCCTTCTTGAGTTTATAGATCTTACGTAGCACTTCATTATTTTCTAAAATAGTGATAATTTTGTTTTCATAATTTATTTACATTTTTCACTGTTGATATTTGCATTGATGGTGAAAAAGCAATGGTTGGGAAAACTGCTAGCCCCTTGGTGTGAATCAAGGCAGTGACACCAAACTTCACTAGTAGCCATTTTGTTCTTTTCCACTTAATAATGTCCTGATGAGGTTCTAAAAGCTATTAATTTTATTAAATCTTGACCCTTAATTTTTCATCTTTTTAATACTTTATATGATAAAATGGGAAATTTGCATAAAGCATTTCTTCTTAAGACAGTATGATGGTTGTCTCCGTCAACCACTTATGCCGTTGTTTGACTTGTGAGCTGAACCAGCTGCCTTTTCATGGAAAATTGTTTTTTATTTGAGTAACTGTTATTCAGACTTCAATACTGGGCAGATTTATTTTTTCAGAAATGAAGGAAGCTTGTTGCTTCAAGGAGAGCAACTGACAGTATTTGTTGCCAATGATAAAATGTGAACTTTCATGACAGAATTATTTAGTTTCTTTTCTGCCACTGAGACCTTAACAATATCCCAGTTCTTAAAGATTCTCCTTATGAAATCCATGGTGATATTGTTGTCATTTGTTAGGTGCCGTAGAGTTGATTTTTGACTTACAGCGACCCTGTGTGGCAGTAGAACTACCCCATAGAGTTTTCTAGGCTGTAATCTTTATCGGAGCAGATTGCCAGATCTTTCTCCTGCGGAACCACCGGGTAGGTTCTAACTGCCAACCTTTCAATTAGCAGCCAAGCGCTTAAATGTTGTGCTACCAGGACTCCTTATGATGATATTAACAAATGTAATTTGTTTATATTACGTAAGTAAATGTGTTAATATTTGGGAGATGTGCATAACTCAGTGATTTCGATATTTTCCAGATGACCAGTGCATGCTGTTATAAAATCACGCATGGATAAAAGATCCTGTGCAAAGTGCAAGATAAACCAGTAGATTTTAGAGTAACAAAATACAGAAAGTTTATGGATGTTATTTCCATATTGTATTAACCTTTAAGAAACCATACCATTTAATTTTATTTTAGTATCTTATCTAAGGAGAATATCCACAATTATCTGAAAAGCTATTATAGTATCTCTCCCTTTTTCAACTGCATATCCTTGAGGCCAGATTTTCTTCATATTTTTTGACTAAAACAAGATACCGCACGTATGTTGAAAGTAGAAGCAGCTATATGAATATAGCTATCTTCTATTAAGCCAGACATTAAAGAGATTTGCAGAAAAAGAGTAAAAGAATCATTCTTTCTTGTTACTACTTTTTTGTGTTTGGAAAATAATTTTTCATAACAATATGTTATTTATGTTTTCATGTAATAGATTTTTTTATTTTTTAAGGAATTCTTAAAAACTCTCTCAGTTTTAATTTCTAACATGAAAAATACTGGTAGATACAACCTAAATAAAGGATTCCTGATAGTTTCACCTGCTATCCTAAAGAATAACGGGAACTAGATGGTACTATAACTCTGGCAAAAGTAATAGTTATGTTTCAAACTGCCTCTCATTTTATGGACCTATTTATTTGTATAAATATTTAACATTTACAAGCCAGGTACTGTGCTACGCATTGACTGGAGATGCATTGCTCCTTGTTCTCACAGAGATTATATTCTTTAGGAGGAGACAGAAAGTGAAATAAGCAGTCATTGTGGTATGTGCCATTATAAGGTAGTCACCCAGCAAGGGCAGCTAAGTTAGTCAAGAGTATAGGGGAAACAATGATGCCTAAAGAATAGAAAGGAGTGAAGTAGGTGAAGGGGTTTGGTGGGAAGAGTAATCCAAGCTGAGGGAACAGTATGCTTAATTGTCTAGAGAAGAGAAATCATGTTACATTTAAGGAACTTAAAGAAAATTAGTATGCCTAGAATGTGAGAGTACTACCACTGTCCTTCAGCCCCATTGACTACCTTTCTGTTCCTGTATCTGCTGAGCTCTTTTGCATCTCCTGACCTTTGTGTCTAAGATCCCTTCTACCTGAAGCACTTTTCTCTTGGATATTTGCATAGTGCAGTGTATTTCTTTTTTCATTTCTCCGCTCACACATCACTTCCTTAGCGAGACCTTCCTTGACCTTCCTGTGAAGCTAGCTACCCTTTCCTATCCAGAGTTACTATAGCAGAGCTCCTGTCTTACCCTACTCTGTCATTACTTGTTAATTTTTCTTTTTTGTCTCCCTCATTAGAATGTAAGGTTCCTGAAGGCAGGGATCATGTCTCTCTTGGTTATCGTTGTATTGACTGCCAGGCATGATGTTTGGTTTATGGTAGATGCCTAGTACATATTTCTTAAAATGTTGAGTGACTGACGGGCAGAATAAGAAGCACCATCAAAGAACCTATTAGACATGTCATGGAAAATGAAGAGAGAGTAGTAGCTCAAGAGGCCAAGAGAGAATATTTCATGAAGGAAGAAGCAGAGTAGTCACTTGTGTTGAATGTTAAGATAGTTCATGCAAAAGTATATTAAGTTTATATGTAAATTCTTTCCACCTTAAAAGTTGTTGAAAAGTGCAAATTGATCCCTAATAGCTTTTCAGAATTTTCACCATCTCATGTAAACTGTAGCAATCAGAAATTAGCACTGGAGTTAAGTATACCTAGAAGAGGATATAGTAGTTGATTTCTTTCAGTTAGAAGCCCCTTTTGACAACACATCTGTTATGTTTATATTTTATTTAAATTTTAACCTTAAATATTAACTTTATTCGGGGTTATATATTTTAATAGATGCAGAATATAAGTAAGCATATAGCCAATTATGCTAGGAGCCGTGGTGGTACAACGGTTAAGTGCTTGGCTGCTGACAGAAAAGGTTGGTGGTTTGAACACACTCAGCAGCTGCCATGGAAAAAGACCTGGTAGTCTGCTCTCGTAAAGATTACAGCCTAGAAAACGCTATGGGGCAGTTCCTTTCTGTCACATGGGGTCTCTTTTAGTCGAAATTGACTCAGTGGCAACAAACAAGAACAACATAGCCAATTATTCAGTTTAAGAAAGTAAAAATAGTAAAATTAATAACACTAGGTTTATGATAATTGGGATCTGGATCAATATTCCAGTAGTAGTTATGTATTTCTTTAGTAGGTTTTTACTTACATGTATAATAACAGTACTTCATTTTGATGTATACCTGTTGCTGTCAAGTGGATTCCGGCTCATGACGGCACCATGTGTATAGTAGGGAAGAGTTGATAAGAAGAAAACTTAGTCTTAACTTGTTTATTAAGTGACCTTACTATCTTTGTATAGTTTAATTTTAGGTGGACTTAACTAAAATCCATTTATATTTCAGAATTTTTCCAAGAATATTTTTGCAATTCTTCAGTCTGTGAAAGCAAGAGAAGAAGGGCGGGCACCTGAACAGCGACCAGCCCCAAATGCAGCACCTGTGGTAAGAACGTTTAACTGCTTATATAATAAATAATTTTAATAAAAACGCCACTTGTATTTCATTGTTACAATTTTTAAGATATTTCACCTTAAAAATTTTTAGATTACTAGCTTCTAACCCTTTTTATGTTTCTGCATACCTGAAAAATATGAAAACTCTTCCACCATTAAAAATTGCTTACTTTAGCAGTAATTATTAACTGGAGACATGTTGTTGTTGTTAGGTGCTGTTGAGTCAGTTCTGACTCATAGCAACCTCATGTACAGCAGAACAACACACTGCTCAGTCCTGCTCCATCTTCACAGCTGTTTTTATGTTTGAACCTATTGTTGCAACCACTGTGTCAGTCCATCTTGTTGAGGGTCTTCCTCTCTTTTGCTGACCCTCTACTTTGCCAAGCATGATATCCTTCTCCAGGGACTGGTCCCTCCTGTTAGCATGTCCAAAGTATGTGAAGTCTTGCCATCCTGGCTTCTGATGAGCATTCTGGCTGTACTTCTTCCAAGACAGATTTGTTTGTTCTTCTGGCAGTCCATGGTGAATTCAATATTCTTTGTCAACAGTATACCTCAGAGGCATCAGTTCTTCTTTGATCTTCCTTATTCATTGTCCAGCTTTTGCATGCATATGAGGTGATTGAAAATACCACTGCTTGTGTCAGGAGCACCTTAGTCCTCAAAGTGACATCTTTGCTTTTGAACACTTTAAATAGGTCTTTGCAACAGATTTGCCTAACGCAATATGCCGTTTGATTTCTTGACTGCTGCTTCCATGAGCGTTGATTGTGGACCCAAGGGAAATGAAATTCTTGACAACTTCAGTATTTTCTGTGTTTATCATGATGTTGCTTATTGGTCTAGTTGTGAAGGTTTTTGTTTTCATTATGTTGAGGTGTAATCCATACTGAAAGCTGTAGTCTTTGATCTTCATCAGTAAATGCTTCAAGTCCTCTTCACTATCAGCAAGCAGGGTTGTGTCATCTGCATATTGCAGGTTGTTAATGAGTTTTCTTCTAATTCTGATGCTGCATTCTTCTTCATATAGTCCAGCTTCTTGGATTATTTGCTCAGTGTACAGATAAATTAGTATAGTGAAAGAATACAACCCCGATGCATACCTTTCTGATTTTAAACCTTGTTCTGTTTGAATGACTGCCTCTTGGTTTTTGTACACATTCCACATGAGCACAATTAAGTTGTTCTGAAATTCCCATTCTTCGAATTGTTATCCATAATTTGTTATGAGCCACACAGTCAAATGCCTTTGCATAGTCAGTAAAACACAGGTAAACATCTTTCTGGTATTCTCTGCTTTCAGCGCAGATCCATCTGACATCAGCAGTGATATCCCTCATTCCACGTCCTCTTCTGAATCCAGCTTGAATTTCTGGCAGTTCCCTGTTGATGTACTGCTGCAAAGTTTTTGAGTTAGCTTCTTCAAAATTTTACTTACATCTGATATTAATGATATTGTTTGATAATTTCCCCATTCTGTTGGATCACCTTTCTTTGAAATGGGTGTAAATATGGATCTCTTCCAGTTGGTTGGCCAGGAAGCTATATTCCAAATTTCTTGGCGTAGAAAGGTGAGCACCTCCAACACTGTATACGTTTGTTGAAACATCTCAGTTGGTATTCTGTCAATTCCTGGAGCCTTGTTTTTCGCCAATGCCTTCAGTGCAGTTTGGACTTCTTTCTTTAGTACCATCAGTTCTTGATCATATGCTATGCCTTGAAATGGTTGAATGTTGTCCAGTTCTTTTTGGTACAGTGACTGTATTCATTCTGTCTTCTTTTGATGCTTCTGCATCGTTCAGTATTTTGCCTATAGAATCCTTCAGTATTGCAACTCGAGGCTTGAATTTTTTCTTCAGTTTTTTTCAGTTTGAGAAATGCCAAGTGCGTTCTTCCGTTTTGGCTTTCTAACTCCAGGTCTTTGCACATTTCATTATAATATTTTATTTTGTGTTCTTGAACCGCCCTTTGAAATCTTCTGTTCAGCTCTTTTACTTCATTTCTTCCATTCACTTTAGCTAGCCTGTGTTCAAGAGCAAGTTTCAGAGTCTTGTCTGACATCCATTTTGGTCTTTTCTTTCTTTGCTGTCTTTTTAATGACCTTTTGCTTTCTTCACATATGATGTCTTTGATGTTGTCCCCCAACTTGTCTGGTCTTTGGTCATTAGTGTTCAGTGCATCAGATCTGTTCTTGAGATGGTCTCTAAATTTAGGTGAGATATACTCAAGGTCATACTTCGGCTCTTGTGGACTTGTTCTAATTTTCTTCAGCTTAATCTTGAACTTGCATATGAGCAATTGATGGTCTGTTCCACAGTCTACCCCTGGCCTTGTTATGACTGATGACATCGAGTTTGTCCATTGTCTGTTTCCACAGATGTAGTTGATTTGATTACTGGAGACAAATCTGGGTCAAAATCTGAGAGGGGTTAATTAGGAAAAGCCCTCTGCGTAATTATTTTAGGTAAACTGTATATAGCCTACTGTTCTAGTCTGGGTTCTCAGCGAGGCAAAAGCAGTGAAGCATATACAGATATATAGAAATTTACTTCAAGGAAATGGTTCACACAATTGTGGGGGCTGGCAGTCCCAAATCCATGGGTCAGGTAACAGGCTGAAGTCCTTTGCTGGCTACAGGACTGACAAATCCAGAATCTGCAGATCTGGTGGCGGGCTGAAGACTTCTGCAGGCTTATATTCTAAAAACACCAGAGGTCAGGTGACAAGAAGAGTGCACTGTTGAGAGAGAGAGCAAGAGCGAGCTTTCCTAGAACATCCATTTATATACTGGAGGTGGGACCATACTGCAAGGAAACTACCTTTTAACTGGTTGGCTACTCAAATCAGATGACAAAATGGAAGATGATTACATAGTGTCTGGCAAATCACTGAAAATCCTAACATAGCCAGGTTGACACATAACATTAGCCATCATAATCCGCCCCTTGTCAACTTGGCACCTGTATACATCTTTTTAAACCATACATAATCTTTCAATAAAGACAATTACAGAATCATACTTCGTACCTAACACGATACAACTAACATGCATACAACTGAAAACGAACTAGCCCCTTTTACATCTTGTATCTTGTAATATATAATGGGATAAGTTTGGAATAAAACAGATATTTGCTATATGTCTGTATATGTACACACACAAATGCACACATATAACAAAACAAGGAAGAAATACTCATAACAGTTAAAGTTCTTGTTTCTCCACTGGTCACGTTGTCTTAGCTGGTATTTAGTATTGCTGTCTTCTACCACCCATTTCATATTCTTTTTGCCCTCAGCCAAGCACCTCAGCTGGTCGTGGTTCTTTTCTGTTGTAATTATCTAGTGCTGCTATAACAAAAGTACCACAAATGGGTGGCTGAAATTTATTTTCTCACAGTTTAGGAGGTTAGAAGTCTGAATTGCAGGGCCCTAGATCTAGAAGATCTCTGTTGGCTCCACAGAAAGGTCCTTGTCTCTTTTCAGCTTCTGTTTCTTGTTTCCTTGGAGATGTCATATGACATGACATCTGTCTTCCCCTGTCTTTGCTTCCTTCCTGGGTTGCTTGCTCAATTTGCTTTTTATGTCAAAGGAGTTTGATTTAGAACACACCTTACTCTAATACTGCCTCGTTAGTATAATAAGGAAAACCCGTTCTCAAATGGGGTTATAACCACAGGTATAAACCAGAAAAACCAAACCCATTGCCTTGGAATTGATTCCGACTCACAGTGACCCTATAGGAGGGAGTAGAACTGCCCCATAGAGTTTCCAGGGAGTGCCTGGTGGATTCGAACTGCTGACCTTTAGGTTAGTAGCCATAGCACTTAACCAGGAGTTAGGATTTACAACACATATTTTTGGGGGACACATTTCAATCCATAACATCTACTCAGTGGTGCTTGGGAGATCACTGAGCATTATTATAAATATATATCCCTGCTACCTTCCAATTTGTGGCTCTTTGAAATCATTGGTATCTATGGCATCTCAGGGCATGTATCATGTTTTTTCTGCTCACCAGTCATGTGGACCTTTCATTGTACCTTATTTTAAGCTGTTCTGAGCATTGACTGTCTGACTCTATGAGTTGTCACTTAGGGCCTTCCCAAACAAAGTAAATTTCATATATGACATACAGCCTATGTTTAAACTCAAATATACTATCCAGTTTTATTGAAAATCCTTTCAGCTATTTTTTTTTCTTTTTTTATCATACTTTAGCTGAAGGTTTACAGAACAAACTAGCTTCTCATTAATAACAGTACACATTTTATTTTCATATGATTCAACAAAGGAAAAATACACACATAAAATGCTTTCTGTCTTATGCAGATATTTTAAAAGTATGTTTAAATTTGCTAGAATACTAATACAGTCTTTGCAATATCTAGTAGTTTTATTTGTCTGTAAAAGTCATTATTATTTAACCTTTAAAGTTAGTGAATTTTTGCTGATATTTAGATAAATGCTTCTACTTGATTCTCAGGAAGTATTTAAATGTTTACTATTTGTCATCTGGGATCTTGAGATACAAGAGTGAAAAAAATACACAGTTCCTGCCCTCTTTGAGCTTAGAGTCCAGTGGAGATGGAGATGGGTGAAAAAAAGGGGTAGGACAAAGTGCTATGATGGTAAAGCACAGGGTGTTTATAATTATGAATTAGTTGACATTTTGAATAACAATTGGGGGGAAATAACATATCAAGTCTTAAAAATGTTTAACCATCGTCTTTGTGACTATGGATACTCTATTTCCATGGTCATTAGAATACTTGAAAATTTTAATGTTTAGCTCTTGATTATACAAGTGTTTATCTAAAGGTAGTCTTAATGTCTTTTATTTGAAATGATACTTGTGGAATTCTATCGTAAGATGTAACAAAATGAGTATTTCAGCCTTTTTGAAGACCATGAATTTCTCAGTTTTCAAAATATTCTTTACGTATTTTTTTTTAGAGTATTTCATATTATGAGTTTTAGATAACGCCTTTGTGAATTAAATTTTGCATCATTACATTGGCAGGAATATTCTTTAAATATGTTTTTCTTAGATTATTACAGACGGAGTTTTAGACATAAATTATGAATTATTAGATTAGTAGCTCTGAGTATTTAAACAGAATAACATCTTTATTACTTTAGCCTTACTCTCTACATTTGCAATGGGTTTATGATCATAATTGTCATGTGTATTTAATTTAAACATTAACAATTTTGTTGATAAATCAGTTAAAAAGCTCTAAGATGTCAGCTCAATAAAGTTTGTTTTTTTTTAATAAATGTATTCATGTAGGAGGCAGAATATTTTTATTTCATTCCTTGAGTTTATTATTTTTTTAAAAATGTATTTTATTTTTGTTGAATATGTACAACAAAACATCACTAATTCAGAGGTTTCTACATGTACAATCAGTGACATAGATTACATTCTTCGAGTTGTGCAGACATTCTCACCCTCCTTCTCTTGAGTTGTTCCTCTCTCATTAACGTAAACTCGGTGCCTCCTAAGGTTCCTAGCTGATCTTTTGAGTTGCTGTTGTTAGTTTGATTCTGTATAGTTATGTATTATTTTTGAGATGTATATCTTTTGTGACTCAAACAAGTGAAAAGTTATATTGTCTTATCTGCTTAACATTCCAAAGTACTTCTTAACAGGGAAAAAGTTTTTGTTGTAAAGAAGCTTAAGTAACCAGAATGAAAATTTTAAGCACACCCATTTTGTTTCTGCAGTTTCTAAATATTTTACTTTTTGTCTTTGTGTAAGTCTACTAGGGGTCCTTTTCCCTTGTCTCTGATAGGGATGTAATTTTTAGCAGTAAACAGAATACTTTGAAAATAAGCTTGAAGTGACTAGTGGTCTCTTCCCTGCCTTTTGTCTTTATTGGCTGTAGTAAGAAAAAAGCCTAGAAAATAAATACCCCTATCGTAGTCTTAGAAACGCCAGCGGTGTAGTGGTTAAGAGCTACGGCTGCTAACCAAAAGGTCAGCAGTTCGAATCCAACCAGATGCTGCTTGGAAATGCTTTCGGGCAGTTCTGCTCTGTCCTGTAGGGTCGCTATGAGTTGGAATCGACTCAACAGCAATGGGTGTTTTTTTTTGTTTGTTTTGTTATTGTGGTCTTTATTATGAATATTAAATAAGTAAAATTAAAAAATACATATAACTCATAATTTATTTTTCTGCAGGATCCCACATTGCGTACAAAACAGCCTATCCCAGCTGCCTACAACAGATATGACCAGGAAAGATTCAAAGGAAAAGAAGGCAAGTTGTTTAATTTTTATCTTCTGTTAATAGAGGCTGCACTGAACTTGACAGGCAGTGTAGCCTTATGGTTAAGAGAAGGGGTTGGTAAACTAAGGTCTGCAGTCCAAATCTGCCCCACTGCATGTTTTTAATAAAAGAAGCTTTGTTGGAACACAGCCACGCTCATTCATTTACATGTTATCCATGACTGCTTTAGTGCTCTGACAGCAGAGTTGAGTTGTTGCCACAGAGACTGTATGGGCCTGCAAAGCCTAAAAGTAATTACTCTGTGGCCCTTTTACGGGAAAAGTTTGCTAACTCTTGTTTAACACCTTGGCTTCTGGCCTCAGATTGCCTGTGCTACACTTTTTTTTGTGAACTTTGGCGAGTTATTTTAACTGCACTTTGTCTCAATTTCCTCACATATATAATTATAGTACTACTAATAGTAGGAACTGCCTCTTAGAGTTATTGTGGAGATTAAACTAGTTAATAAACAAAAAGTCATAAGAATAGTGTTTGATGTGTAATAAGCTATCTGTAAGTGATTGCTGTTAATACTAGTTCTGTTTTTAAAGAATATATTTTTAAATGGAGATTCTGTGTATCGAATCTTGTTTTCCAAATTATAAACATATAAATTGAGAACTTGGAAAGCATGGACTTGGAACAGGGATGTGAGGACTAATTTTGCAATAGCCTATATGATATACTTCTAGTGCAATAGTGAACCATTTCTACATTAGTAAGGTGGCTAGTGAGGTGAGACTGTCATCAGCTTAACTTCCTCTTGGGATATTCATTCATCTTGACTTGATTCATGGAAAAAACAATATGGGAAGAGCTAGAAGGTTAACATTTATGTTATTTGCTGTGTAGCCTGAATTTCCATGTAAGTTTCTTTAAAGAACATGTTGCCTTGATGGAGTGAATTTTGTCTTCTGACTTCATTCCCTGGATAAAGGAATGTACCACTTATGGCCATAGAAAGACAGCGGTCTGTTCTTTTATCCATTGCAGTGTTTTTCTTGTAAAATGAATTACATAAAGCACAGTTTGGCAGACTGTAGCGCGCAGACCAAAGCTACCCGCCCAGGGACCAAATCAGGTCGGACTCATCTGTTTACATGTGTTGTCTATGCTGCTCTTGCCCTACAACTGCAGAATTCAGTAGTTGTAACAGAGTTGATGTGGCCTGCAATGCGTAAAATATTTACTGTGTGTGTAGCCCACACAGAAAAATTTGTTGACCCCTGATGTAAAGCATGTTGGAACCCCAATCACTGTTTACGTCTTTGCTTTTCTACAAAATGAATAACATATGCCTTATGATTATACTTTTGGAATATAACTTTTCTATTAGTTAAAAAATAAAACTATGAGGCTACTTATAGCATATCTCATGATATTGGTTGCTATATCATACTGTAATCAAGTATTAGGAGTAAATAGTGGTTGTAAAATTATTCAGTCTAGTTTTTAATACTGCTAACCAACTATATGACACCTGAACGTAATTGCAGAGACAGTCTTAACCAGCTTCCACACAGTAGGCTTGTTGGTGTGTATTGAATATATTTTTGAGACTATTGTCCTTTTTAAAGTTTTTATCTTCACTAGTATGTAATTTAACTACATATGCATAGTAGGTTCAAGGCTTTGTTACATTATTGAATTGTCAGATATAATGTAGTTTATTACTTTACATTTGCTATCAGTCATGAAATATATAAAATCAAACAGTAAACCTCCTTTCTTTATAGAAACGGAAGGCTTCAAAATTGACACTATGGGCACCTACCATGGTATGACACTGAAATCTGTAACGGTAAGTTATATTGACTGCAGAGATTCTTTTGTCCCGGGCAGCTTATGTGAGTAGCAATGTTAAAAACAAAACAAAACAGAACAAAAAACTTTGTTCTCTAGTGCTTTCTATTTATCTTTAATGACCAGGTGCTCTGATAGCTATGTGTGGTGGATTATTTGATTCAAGGGTGTCCTGTTTTTGTGTTTAGTTTAGTTTTGTTCTTTCTTTTTTTTTAAAACTGAGTTGAATATTTTTAAACAAATGGTGTTTTGACTAACTTAGAAGTAGGGCAGATGCTAAACTGGTTAGACTATTTAATGCCAGTAAGGATTATAGTTCCAGTTTGGGAGAGTCCTTTGCCATAATCTTATGTTCTTTAGATTGTAATGTCTTACAGTCTTTAAAAAGAAAAAAGAAAAAGAGAAACAGAATATAGTGGTTGATTTAATGCCTACAAAGTGCATATTTGATGGAATTGAATCCTTGGGTGTCCATGAATATAAGCCTTTGGTTCATTTTTAGCAAACTTTTTAATTTTTAATCTTCTAAAGATAGCTATTTCTAGATGTTATGACCAAACTATATTTTTTGCTTTTAATTTTTATTTAGTCAATGATAGGAATTGGTGATGTAGGGTAGGAAATGTATTAACCTTATATTGCACGTATACATTATAGAGCATTATACCTTTCATACTTTAAAATACTATCATGTATTAATTAGAGTACTTACTTAGAACACTAGCGTCAAATTCACTTTTGTCTTTGTGAATCATCAGCTCTTTAAGGACTTAGTATAACATAGAATCATGTATATATTTGCTGTGATTTCTCAAAATTAGGATACATCTTTACATCTACTTGCTGTTTGCTGTGCTTTACTCACTTATTTTCAGAAACAGATAGAAAATGTGGAGAATCTGATTATAAAAGTTGGATTTTTAAAGTTTTTCTGGCTTCAACTAGGAATAGTATATTAGATATTTTGTTCATATACTTGTTCTGAAATAATCGGATTTATTTTTTACAATATTGTGTGTAGATTCAGCATACTACTTATTGAGCACTGTGTCTCAGACCTGTTCTAGTTACTGGGACTGTATCTGTGAATAAGACAGTTGGGGCTTCTTTGGAGAGAGTGTCCAGAGAGGCCTCTCTGGGAAGATGACAGTTGAACAGAGAGCTGGAGGAAGAACATTCCATGCAGGGCAGAGGCAAGGGTCACGACTGGGGCTCACTAGAGGACCAGCACAAAGGCCAGTGCCGTCAGAGCCTAGTGAGTGAAGGGAAATGTGGTAAGAGATTAGATACACCCATCATATGATCTGGATTGGTTCTTCCTGACTTCAAAATACAATTCATAATTGTAAGATTGAGCTTAAATTCTTACATGATTCAGTTATTGATGTTTTCTTTGGGACAGAACTTGCCTACTGATCATTCCCCAAGTGACTTAAATAGTGGAACTGAAGTTATCCTTAAGTAGCCATCAAGTAAGTTTGTTGTTGTTGTTTTCACTTTTGTCTCATCCCCATAGCTCTGAAGTGCCATTAAGTTGATTTCATCTTCTGAGCTTCTGTGCAAATGGTGAAATCAGTGATAGTTTCTATTGTGGTGCTTTTTACAGAACAGTTTTTCTCAAAGCCAAAGACAACTTCTTAATTTTACACAAACAGTATGAGAATGATAAGATTTTGCTTCCTCATCAGAGACTTTATTCCTGAATAGACTTAAAAGAGAGGTGGATTTAAACTAATTTATTCTATGTGATTTTAAAGAAGTAATCAAAAAAAGACTTGTAGGAATGCAGCAGAAGGATTGAAATTGTCAAGTTCTAGTAGTTTTATTATTTTAATACCCAGTTTGAATCTGCTGCTTGTGACCTGATTCATTTAGCAGTTGTTAGAAAGAGAATACATAGATAAGTTGGAACTTGAAAGCTCTGAAGTTTCTCAAATAATTGTTTCTATTAAGTTGAACCTCAAATTTACATTTCCAGTTTGTCATTTTTTCGTCTTCTGTTTTAGAATCATTACCTACTTGTGAGTTTCACCAACTTTCTACCTTATTCTGTAGTTAAGAAAGTTTCTCTTATTGTATCTGTCGAAACATACAGAGCTGTTCATAATGTATGTTAAAAGGCTTTGCTGCCCAAATGTGACTTCCTTTCTAATTTATGTGTAGCTTATTATTAGATAATTCTGTTATTTTTTGTTACTCTTGTTCTTTGGGATTTTTTTTTTTCCCCACAAATTTTTTTTTTTTATTTCAAGTACAAAATCAAACATTCAAGATCTATATGTACTACATATATTTGTATTTATTTTACTTTTATTAGGAAGACCAGCCAAAGAACTATTCATTATTATAGATGTAAATATGGGGGGGGCATATTATCATTATATTGTCTTTAAAGTAGCCAAGGTTGTTGTTTGGTGCCATTGAGTTGATTTCAACTCATAGTGACCCCGTGGACAGTGTAGAACTGCCCCATACGGTTTTCTTGGCTGTAGTCTTTTTTTTTTTTTTTTAATTGATGTAATTAAATGAAGTTTACATTTCAAGTTAGTCTCCCGTACAGAATTTTTTATTTTTTCAACATCCATTGTTATGAGACCCAAACCACTCACCCCATTCTGTGACAGCACACTCCTCCCCTCCGCCTGTGATTTCTCATGAACATTCAACCAGCTCCTAACTCTCTCTGCCTTCCCCTCTCACTTCTGGACAGAAGCCACCCCTTTGGTCTCTTATATCTGCTTGTCTGAGAGGCACATTCTTCACGAGTATCACTATATGTCCCACAGTCCAGTCCATTCCCTGTCTGAAGAGTTGGCCTTGGAAATTGTTTTAGTTCTGGGGTGATGGAGAGATCAGGGGCCATGCTTTCCGGGGCACTTCCAGTGTCAGTCAGACCATTAAGTCTGGTCTTCTTACTAGTATTTGAGTTCTGCATCCCATCGTTCTACTGCTCCACCAGGGACCCTCTGTTGTGTTCCCTGTCAGGATGTTCATTGGTGGTAGCCGGGAACCATCTAGTTCTTCTGGTCTCAGTCTGATGAAGTCTCTGGTTTATGTGGCCCATTCTGTCTCTTGGGCTGTTCTTTGGGATTTTGATAAGCTTACCTGATACGTATAGTTATTGAAGTTAGGATCATTCTACATCAGGATTGATCTACGTATCTTTTAAGTTTCAGACACTGGACTTAAATGCAAGACTAAATAAGTTGACTTATACAGACAGCTAGAAAATTTTGATCCAAATGAGTTTTCCTCTTATATGTTATAGAGTAGAGGCTTGTATTTTAGTGATGCTATTTCATAAAAATCATAAGTTATTGAAATTTATTATAGAAACAAAGGTCTATTCGGGATATTTTAGGTAGGTGGTATGATTTAATAATATTTGGTAATAGTCTATAAAAGTCATAATTTTATTGAAACTTACAAGAATAGAAGCCCAAGTAGCTATAAAGTTACGAGTTTGTATCATTGTGTGTCTGGTTAACTTTTGTTTTAGGCCAAGGTATATGTTTCACAATAAAGGTTCCAGAGGCATAAGCCATGAAAATATTAAAGAGTTGCTAGAGGACTTTCCTGAGTTGGAGACTTTTCCTCAAAATGCGTTACTTGAGTTCAGTGTTAAGAAACACTAAGTTAAACAGATTTTGTGGTATAGGTATCTCATTGTTTTTAATATGTAAATATCAAATTGGAAGAAAATAGTATGGATTGTTTCCCAAGATTGTTTTATCCTCAGAGTTTGGCCCCTTCTCCCTACTGTTGGAAATACTCCTGGAAAGAACTGGTGTGGGTGGCATAGAATCAGTTTAGGAAAAGCTATTTTAGAGGTATGATTTGAGAGTCCAAACTATTCTTGAGGGGAACACCAGAATATATCTTCATGGATTCCTTTTGTGAAAGGGCTGTCTTAGACTAAGAAAGTAGCACTTGACAATGCTTTATAAGAAGAGATGATTGAGACCTATATTTGCTGGTAAGGTAGCAACAAGGAACCAATCTATGATTCCACTGAAGAGGGACTAATAAGATATAATCACAGTTCACTCTTGTAATATTTGTAAAAATTTGGTAATTGGATTGATGGGAAAACCACTTCATTTTAATGTCGCAGTGTAGCTTGTTCATGTAGAAGCATTGAGTATCCTTGGCTCTCAATTACCCTTCCTAATTTCAGTTTTGAAAAAGTATTTTGCACCCTGAAATTGTATAGATTGGAAGCTTTCCTTTAATATCTTCATTTTATTAACTCTAATAGACACAGTACTTCTTATGATAAGTCTTTCTTGGGGAACCGTTTTCCTGACAGTAAGTAAACTTAGGTGGGTTTTAATATCTCTTTTAGAGATGTAATAATGTCACCATCAGCTTTTACTCAGGAGGATCCAGAATCTCAGTCTTGTCCCCAAGTTATAGTCTTAAAAGCAGGAAAACATATGTTAGTAACCTCTTCCCTCCTTCACCCCCCAACACTTTATAACCCTTTCTTCATTCTCATTTGGTTGTCGATTAATTAATTTGGTTGTTTATCTCTGTTGGAAGCGTTATGGAAGTACTGTAGTAGCAGTAGCTGGACAATGAATAAGGAAGACCAAAGAAGTTGTTTTATGGTGTTGGCGAAGAATTGAATATGCCACGGACTGCCAGAAAGAACGAACAAATCTGTCTTGGAAGAAGTACAGTCAGAATGCTCCTTAGAAGCGAGGATGGCAAGACTTCGTCTCACGTACTTTGGACGTGTTTGTTATCAGGAGGGACCAGTCCCGGGAGAAGGATATCATGCTTGGTAAAGTTGGTGGTTAGTGAAAAAGAGGAGGACCTTCAACAAGATGGATTGACACAATGGCACAACCGTGGGCTCAAACATAGCAACAATTGTGAGGATGACATAGGACTGGGCATTGTTTCATTCTGTTATACATGGAGTTGCTATGAGTTGGAACTGAGACCTGAGGGCACTTAACAACATAGTAGCAGTATTGTTTTGGAATTAGGCCT